TTTTCATTTAGGTTTTCTCAGTCAAAGGAAAACGCAGCTTGCCTGCATGGCGCTAATGTTATTATAATGTAGAATGTTTCAGCATATTGCCGGTGTGAAATGAGGCCACGTTTGGACCACTCCTTCCTCTCCACCATGACCCGTTCCTGTTGCAAGTGTCTAGGAGCATAGACACATGAGTTTGTTGTCACTGCAATACTCAACTGTAAAAACATTCTGGCGTAGACAAAAGGACTGATAAGGTTGGACACATACGATTCCGATGGATCAGACAATTTGGAACCGGTTCTCTATTCCCACCCATGTACAACTACACCGCTAGATGCCACTAAATCTTACATACCGGACATTTAAGGTAAGAATTTAGCAAGTCAGTTGGCTCTTTGCATCAAGAGTCTTGCACATTGAAACTGAACCTTTAGGACATAATCCACACAAAAATAATGATTATAAATCGTTATTGGACAACGTGCCTTGTATTTCTGAATCCATGCTACTGTTTGGTGGTGCATTTTCTCCACATGGGTAATCGGTCAAAAGTGGGGCCATGAAACTTCCTGCTGCTGGGTTTCACAGCAGAAAGTTGTTGTGCTCTTGCTAAAACTTCAATGGAAAGGTCTTAGGTTTTGTAGTCAGGACTTCAGAAAAGAGATTGTACTTTTTCTACAGTCATACAGGAAGAAATGCATCATGGAAGTGGCATACACACCAATTTATGCCCCTGTTGTACCAGAAATAGCCTAGAATGCATTACAACCACAGGAAATGTGACATTTTTGAGTATAGGGTACAGCTGTGATCATAGACATTCTCCCATGCTACTATCTTTATTTATGGATACTTTTATGTCCACCCTGACTGAAAGCATGTTTACAACCACTGTCTGGTGGTGTGTTGAAATGCATTCTGGGAAACCATAGAAAACAACTGAAGATATCACGGAAAGTCGGAACCACCAAAAAGTCAGACGCACTAGCCAATTACAAAATTAATCATGAAATCCACAAGTGAAGTAGGCACATAATGTAAGACAGCTTGGTGGACAATGAGGGTGGCAGGAAGTGCATACAAAAAATAAATAAATAAGGCATGGGACAGAGAGGGTATGGCAAAACCCAGTGTGAGCGCTGTCATGGCCGGTTAAGTGGACAGGCAGCCCTGCTGGAATTCTGTTATCTGTCAGCTGCAGAAAGCCAACCAGCAGAGGGGAGGGGGGCGCACTGCTCTGAGGCAGGACACACACTGTGAGAAAGCTTTTTATCAGGCCTGTGTGTTCTGTGGACAATCTCAAACTCTTTTAATACAAACATTATCAGTTTTATCTTTTCAATTACGTTCAACGTTTCTCTTTATCTTATTTCTTTTTCCCTGTCTGCTTTTAATCAAGCGATGCTGTTGGGTTCTTTGCAAATCCTTTTACGTCTCATTGCTTTCCGCTGAGCGCTTATACCGTTAAGGTTGTGTATACTATTTTGAAAAGTAGCAGTTTCCAGGGCTTGGTTAGCACTCGGAAAGCTAGTGGAACTGATTTTGAAACCGCTTTCAAAAATCTATTTTACGTCAAAGCTTCTAATTACAGCCTGAGACTTGATGCAAATTGACATTAATATGCCAGAGTGATACATTAGCAATAGATACCGCAAGACAGAATACCTCATTACCATACTGATTTTCAGAGAAACGTGAGAGGGCCAATTGTCATGTTAGCATAATAGTAGTTGTCAGGAGACCCGTCCTTACTTCCTGTTCGACAGGTGCCAGAAATACTTAATAATAAGCATGTGTCAGTGTAAATGATTATATGTGAGACAATATAATCAGGAGCCATTACTCAGACGTGTGTGTCGCTACAGGACAACACACCCTCACGGCTGCCTGTGATGGAAGTGGCACTCATAAATAAAACAGTACTCATCAGGATAAAGACATTATCATTAATCAAAGATGCGACAAGCTTTATTTTGATTGCCATCTGACTGTAAATTATACTTAATGCCTAAATAGTTGAGGAGAAAGAGAGGGTGACAGTAAAAAACCTTTCAGGATTCCAAGTGTGTTTAGTATGCGAGACATGTCCAATTCTCACAATGCGACTGCTGCTATGACCCACGTCTACAAACCAACCAATCAGAACACCATATGAAATGATACAGAATACACAACATTTCATAAGTGCTTTCACTACACTTTATTTAGATTTCACTATTATTCGGCTGAAATCAACAACGTCTCCCTCTAAGGTTTGAAGAAATTCGTACTCTTCAGCAACAATGCCGTTAATTAGCACAAAAAAAGGCGACGTGTTTAAGGAGTGTGCTGACCATCATCCTGAACTAAGTTCACCGCGACATGATAGGGCTGTTCCCGTATCAGTCGCACTTCAAATCGACTCAGAAAGAGAAGGCGGTGGTTGTCTCTGATATATCAGTTTGTCGTGTGCTTGTGGTTCTGTGGCTTTTTCTCAATTCATAGAGGTTTGCAAATTTAATAAACTTTAATAGTGAGTTTTTCTTCAATACTCCTTACTTACTACTTGCAGAGCATTCGTCCCACACAAAACTCCTGAAAACATCTGATTTCCATACACCAAGTGTGTGTCCTTCTCATAATTCAGTTATCAGTTCCTAGCACTGATTAGTCTTGCATTGTCCTCCGGTTCCATTACCCCTCTCTGTTTCCATCACAGTTCATTTTTGTCTCTATTGTGGCCCCTAAAAGCAAAATGCCCAAAAACAAAAAAGAAACCCCAAAACCCTGAATTCTCAATGGATATACACAACAATCTAGGAATCTAGAAAGTATTGAACCCCTACCTCATGCCCTCTGTGGACTTGTTCTGATAGTTGCAGTGGAGCTGTGGCGTGCCCAGCATTGCTTCTGTGAAGACAGCCAGGAAGCCCAGGGACTCCACGAACACCGCAGAGTCCAGGAAGAGGTAGGTGATGTAGGCTGCCACCAGCGTGAAGGCCAGCACACACTGCAGGTAGTCAACAAAGTGACTCCACGACCAGAAGTGGTTCCAGTCAAAGTCTAAAAGGTGTAAAACAAAGGAAAACCACAAATAAGTCCACAGAAATGAATATATTTTAAAAAGTAGCCACTCAAGAGAGAACAGTTCTAAAGCAGCAGCAGTACTGGCACAGTTAGAGAAACATTGCTTGATGTGCACTGATCTGGAAGCAAAAATAAAAAAATAAAGAGACACGCAACAGTAATGTTGTTTCTGGTTGAGAAAAGACAGGACTTTTTTTTAGACACATTACAGGAAGAGTCTCATTCAAAAGTGAGGGGGAAAACAACCACCTTTAATATGCCTTTATTTGATAGGGCAGGTGAGGATAGACATGAAAAGGTTTAATTGTGTATTAAACGCTTGTAAGTAAGTAAGTAAGTAAGTAAGTAAGTAAAGCTTTATTTATATAGCACCTTTTTGACACCGAGATCCAAAGTGCTTTACAAAACAAAGCAAATATCAGCATATGGGTATAAGCCATACCAATCACACAAAACATAGGGAGCATGTAAATACAAACATAAGGAAGATAAAACAAGAGGGAAGGATAAATTAAAAGAGAGACGACAGATGAGGAAACAAACAAGGAGATCTATAAAAAGGCTTGCCTGTAGAGGTGGGTTTTGGGCTTAAAACAGTCCACAGATTTAGTGAATCTGAGTGAATGGGGAAGACTGTTTCACAATGTTGGGGCTAAAACAGCAAACGCACGGTCACCTTTAGTTTTACAGGTAGAGCGTGGAACGGATAAAAGGCCGAGATTTGAGGAGCGGAGTGGCCGAGGAGTGGAGTGGGGAACAAGGAGGTCCTGAACTGTAAACTGGGGGCCGAGGTCATCCAGTGCGCTTAATATGTAATACAGTTAAGATCTTATAGTTTGATTTAAATTTTACGGAAGCCAATGAAGGGATGCGAGAACAGGAGTAATGTGGGACCGACGGCTGGTTCTGGTTAAAAGTCTGGCGGCTGTACTTTTTTATAGCACTTAAACTGTGGTTTAAATTACAGGACAGATAGTCAGCTGTGAGACACTTTCTCTTTCGTACTTGCGTCCAATCAAATTTCCCCACTCTCCTTGCTTCCTGTTTTCCAGCACTGGAGGAAATAATATCTACTAATCCCGTCTGTTCTCTTTTTAACTGTAGATCTAGTTAATAAAAGGGAGCAAAAACTCCATTATTGTGAATATTTTTTTAACTAACTTCACACTTGAGCTGCGAATTTTCACAGGACTCCCACAATCCCCTTCTCGTAGAAAAAAAACTATATGTCACTGCCACAAATAGGCCGCCTGAACTGCGCACGATTTGGACTCGTTCTCATTCAGATTCTTGCAAAAGCAGAAGCCTTTAACTTCAGGCTCTTGAAGGAGGAGTGAAATAGATAGTTATAGTATTTTCCACACAACAGTAATGGGCTGGGTGGGAATCTGGACACTGATGAACGATTTAAATCCTGTTTTTATGCCCCAACACCTCGCATGTGCGCTCTTTCTCAAAGGACATGATTAGATAAAGATTCTGAGCACAACAACATTGGCTTCCTGTAATAAGCAACAGAGCCAATACTAATCATACTGTGACAATACTCTCAAGGCTGTGAAGCGTTGATCGCCTCAGGTACTACTTTAACTATGGCTGATGAGGGGAACAGGTACAATAAACAATGTAAGACATCCCTCTAATTTCCTCTACACAGTCGACATACGTTTATTGTATAAGCTGTAGAAAAAAGAAAAAAAAAGCATGCATGTAGCTGCTGATTTAATGCGTTAGCAGAGGACATTAAAAGAGTTTATCACGAAAATCTAATCATGGCTGAGAGCGTAAGATGCTTCTGCACTGCTCTATCTTTAACAGGATTTCTACAAGCCTCAAATGCAATACAGCCGATTCGTTTAATCACGTTTAAATGAGGCTGTCTTTATCCAAGAGGCACATCTAGGCCCTCTAAAGAGGTCTTTTGTATAGGTCTGCATATGCCTCCAGAGAAGGGCCTATACAGTAGACAAAGCAAAACGAAAAACAGAAAAAACAAACAAAGGATTGTTTGGAATAACTTCATCACTAAATACCACGCTGGACTGAAAAATCCTCCTGTTTTTCGAGACCTGATAAAATCAGAAGTGAAAGAATACAAGCGTTTATGACATTTGAGTTTATAATTTAATGAAATATTGCTTCATTAGAGAATTAATGGTGACCGATTCTGACATTTAGATGGCATTTCTACATGAATACACATGGCAGGCACGCATGCGTGCAAGGTAACCTGGCTTTGCAATACTGAGTGTTATTGAGCCAATCCAATTGTTCTGTTCTAACAGACAAATCCCATAAATGTAACCGAATAAAACTCAGAGCAATTCAAACCAGGTCACAGCCTTCTGTCAGCCCAGCACACACTCCATACACCAACATTTACCACGGCAAACCCTTACAACTATGTAGGACAGCAGCACAATGTAGTTTTGAAGCCAAGCAAAGCTTTTTAAAAAGGTATAACAAGGTATGTATTTCTGTTCTGAGTATAATCAACACTAAGAATATCCTTCTGTTGGGCTGTTATATGTACTGTATAGCAGTGTGTTATTCTGTAGGTGTTGAGGCTGCAGATGTGTGGTGGGGCTGTGGAGCCCTGCTGGCAGCACAGCCAGAGGACTGTGAATCTGGGCCAACTAGCACCAGGCTGGCGCTGCCTGATAACAGCCAAACACACAGGGAAGCAATCAGGGGCAATAGAGCAGCGTTCAACAGCAACCTGGCTGCTTAAGGCCTGCACAGCTTCACATTAAACACACAACTGAACATATGATATATGTAATGAAAGGCTCGTAGTGATGATTCGACTGGGCTCCAGTTTGGGAAGTATAACAGACACACACGTACAGTAGGAGCTGGCAGGAGGCGTGGAAACGTTTACAGTATCGCACACTGTTAGCTATCTAGCGAGCAGTGTCACACCTGTTAACAAATTAGCTTTTAACACATTTACTCAAAAGTGTAAAAGCCCCTAAAAAAAGCCCCCAAAACAGAGCTGGACTTGTCAGGTGGCCAAAACACGACACAGAATGAATGCTAATGTTTAAATAAGCACCTGTTTGCCAACACGTTAGCCATAACAACTCCACTGTGTGTCTGTTAGCTTGTTTCTTCTGCCCCCAAGTGGCTAAAAGACGCAGCTCAAGTTAGCAATATGCTAAAATGTAAAATGTAGCTGTGCTTTTATGATGTATGTGGTAAAATTACTTTTTTAGCATACATGTCCTGAGATAAATAATGTTGAGTAAAGTATAATTTTCCCGTTGGGATATACTGGTAGTAATTAAGTCTTAACAGCCAGTTCCTCAAAGTTGTTCTTCATTCATTTTGGAAATGTAGGTAATTTCAGTAGGGTAAACACAGGAGTCACAAATGATATTATTTAGGGTTTTGTTCCATTTAGCGTAGCAGAGCCTTTCCAGTGAGCCAACAAGCACAACAGCAGCACCCTGACTCTGTTTGACCTGAATGTAACGGATCCTTAATTAGTATCCCCGGTAACACCTGTGTTTACCCTACCATTTCATGTCAAAATGGCTGCTGTGAAAAAGGTCTACTGGGACTATTGCCTGCACAGCAATATCTGCAAGTTTCCCTTTTCAGTTCTTAAGATAAAAAACTAATAAGATCTTTTCCTAAACTTTTTCCCCCCAGTCTCGGTTGTCGGTGAGTGGGGAGCGGAGGAGGAGAGCTAATGCAGGAAATTTCCTCTGTGGTGGAATCAAAAATATTATTTCCATCTTGCAACTTAATTTGGTGGTCAGGGAGGGGGAAGAACAGAACACCTTTGTTATGAACACCTTTGGCTCTAGCAAAAAAAAGGCTGTGATTATGACTTTTCTTTTTGCTTTTCCTTTATCTGTGCAGTCCATGTTTTAGTAACCACACTCCTTCGTACCAGCACTGCAGTGTCATCATCTCTTAATCCTGTATGTGCAGAAGATAAACACAAATCTGTTTTCAGTTCTGAGCAGCAGCAGATGTCAAAACAGTGTCCTGTAGGCATGTTTCACACTGACCACTAAGGGATGTTTATCGCGGTACTGTACCTCGTCCATCTCCTGCCATACACCTCTCTTGCTGTGCCACTTGTGTACCCCGGGGCATTCTCCTCCTCCTCTTTAATCCCTGTGCTATGTGGCAGCCGCTATAGCGTTGTGTGGGAACAGACTGGAGGTGCACACAATGGACTCCCTGTGGTGGCCAAACGTCTTGTGCACAGCTCGGTTTGAAGTGCCACAGAGTTGCGGTACGTGTGTAGGAAGACGCGGGTCAGAGTTGGAGTTTTTTTAAATCGCTTGTTTACCAACTGTTCCCTGCCAGTTACAGTTAGGCCCTGGAAAAGTCTGTGGGGGTACTTGAAATAATGACTCGCTGTCGCTCAAAAAAGCACCCGTGGGAGAAGCAGGGACATTATTATGAAAGACAGTTAGAACAGCCTGGGAAATTGAACCTCAGATTTCAACAAGCTTTGTAATAGGCTTTCACAGCCAAGCCAAAACCTAGCAACCTTTCCGCGCTGCCACCTAGACCACAGGCTTCTAGAAAAGGACTGCGGCTAAAAGGTTAGGCCTCGACCTGCCCTTAAGGAGCGGATAACTGCACCTACAGGATGAGGCAATTCATTCGAAAGCTGACAAACCCAATGAAGCTACAGGTACAGGTACAGACCCCCAACGGGACCAGAATGAGCAATGAGCCATAACCGAACATTAGAAAGAAATGGAAATCTGTTGTATTGCCATGTACCTCTGTAACATTGTTAGGCCAGCATCTCTGTGCTGTGGGACCACTCAATCATCTTGACATAATCAAGATAACTGCACATTTTATACAATTCTTCCTTCTGATTCGATTTTGAGCGAACCACAGCCACTGCAGGGATTTTACTTTTTGTGGGAAAGTGGTAATAAAAAGTGGTCTGCTATCCAATCAACCAGTTAATATGTCCAAAAGTTTAAATTGTGTGATTTATATCTTCAGGGTCATTCAGTGGTGCTGCGGAGCTCAGGAAAGGACATGGAGGAAAAAGCTTTAATGAGAGGGGGAAAAAAAACACTACTTGTGCATCCAATCCGAAACGTTTCTGCTTAAAAGGTTTTAACGATTAGGTAAATTTACTTCCTTGGTTGCTTGGCAATTTTGTGAACAGCAATGTAACGTTTTACAGAATTGTATTTTATCTTTAGGCAACAGAACAGAACGCTAATGTTTAGCTACATTCACGTCTAAAAAGACTGGTTATGTAGGAGGATCTGCTACTACCGAGGTCAACAGAGGTCCCAGAGTCATCCACACGCAAAGAGACGAGGTATCATTTTCAAGCACATGAACTTGGGCGACAGAAGGTTGCTTGTGTGGGTTTTCCTTCAAAATCATGTAAAGGTTTTGCATTCCTGTGCACCTAAAAGTACTGCAAACGTTTTTTTTAAGATTTCACAAAAGCTTTGAGGGGAATGCAAAAGTTGATCTTTTCTTTTTCCTCCAATCACAATGCTTTCCTCTATGTCTCTTCACAGATTTCCCTTCAAAGACTATTTACAGCTGAAATATCAAAAACAAATTTTTAGATTAAACTGAGCGGAAAGAGAATGTGGTTGTGACAGACAAAGCTGCTGCCTCTAAGGAACAAACAGGCAAGCTTCCCCAGAGTCTGAAAACCACAGAGGCCCTAAAGTTTGCATACAGGATTTTCAATCATGGAGCGAGGCCCTGTTTGATGGCTCGCTTGCTGACACAAATTCATTTATCCGCTGCCGGAGACTTTGAAAAATTCAATCTGGGTTTCCTCTTTCGGGTCTTCAAAATAACCAAACAGTGAAGTTTGACTAAGGGATATATTAGACAAAGTGAAACTTTCCTCACCGTCATCAGAACTTTTTCAACTAATATTTCATCCTACTTTTTCCTTCCAAACTCTTTTACCTCCACCTGAGTGATCGCCAGCATTTTGGATTCTGACACAGCCAAATGATCTGATCTTTTAATCTCCTTAAAGGATTGCGCAAGGCAGTCTTCCATATAAATCACACTGAGCTGCTAACACTACACAGCCTACAACAAAGCACATACTCTATGGCACAGATGTGGCCAGTTGTGTGATTGTGGTTGAGGCACCACAGGCGTTCATTGAACCTTTGTATGCTCTCAGTTCTATGACGCTATCTCAGCAAATTACACGTCTCCGCATATAATGTTCACAGCCAGTCACATCTATTATAATACTGCCTTATTTGGGCATCCTGAGAAGTTCTAGTCTTTCTGGGTACAAATGTCCAGCTGTTTGATGGAAGTGCCTGGTGTGATAATGACGCTGTGCGGCTATGAGAGAAAAAAAAAAGTGCTATGAGGCTTTGAGGACATAAAGGGAACAAACAAAACAATCAGAACAATCAGAAAAATGTACAGGTTGACAATTTGTCCTGCTGACTAAATGCTATGGTGAGTCACTGCAGAGAGCTACAGTGTGAAGCTGTTCCACCTCACGGCTGCACACTGACACCAGCTTGGTGCTATATGTTATACTGTTAGCTTTATAATTTGCTTTGGCCTGATACTGACCACGGCTGCTCCAGGCCTCTAAGTGATGATGCGTGTCTAACCGATCCACAGCTCTGCTCTTTCACTTCTCCCTCCCTCCTTCTATCTGGGTGTTTTCATACTTCTGTCAGTAGTAGACTACAACATGCTTACGTTTGATATTTCCACTAGCAGATCAATGAGCAGGCGCACGCCAGCAAAGCTGCGATCAAAGAACATGGCTTTCTGTCAGTTCTAATGATGCTTGGCAGAGTTCACCGATCAATGACCATTCATCTAGCCTCGAGTCTCTGGCAGTGAAAAGCTGGCTTCAACATGTGGGCAAAAACAGCTGATGCCAGATGTCAGGAAGAGACAGGCCCAACCACAGAAAGCCATAATGCTGAGGAAAACTGCTTCTGCTTTTATTAAAATGATGGAAAACATCCAACAAAAGGGTACAAAACAGCACTTCAACACCAAGCCATCTAGTGTGCATTAGTCAGTCCCAGGAGGAGAATTTGTAATATATTACAACAAACTGAGCCAAGTGCTTTTTCACATCATACAAATATAGTTTCCTACTGCCATCTAGTGTCCGTACCAGGAACAACAATGGCTGTGTCCCAATTCCACAGTATAGCATACTTATTGTAAACAGTGTGCACTATGTACTGACTGTTAGAATAAAGGAAATAAATCAATATTTTTTTTGTTTTATACAATTGTGATATAATACAACACATGCATCAACCACTGTCCATTGCAATGTTTCATTATTTTTGGAGCTGTGAGTAGTGCCTACCTTTCCTTTGTGCATTGCATTGTGGGACAATAGAAAACATGAATATATTTTTTATTTTTTTGAGGCAGTGGTAATACTACTGCGACCGCCACAATCAAAGCAAAATGAAGGTTCCCTGCCGGGGCTTTAATCACTTATTTTGTCACTTTTCCTACGTAATTAAAACCTGCTTGGGTGTTGGGGCACTGCTTAAGAATTTCAGGTTAGACTGATTCACTGCCTTAAGTAATATTATAGTTTGATGTTTCAAATGACATCCCATGATCTGGATGACCTCTAGGTCATGTGATGTCTAGCATTTGTAAAACAGCAGTAGTTAAGCTGCATCAAGCCGCACCCAATACGCATTTTTACATATCACAGTGGGAAAAGCACAGGTGTGGATAATAAAAATGATGATGGCTGAATTCCATTTAGCTGCTTCAGTGTAAGGGTCCTGGTATTGTGTGTGTTGGCTCCTATTAGACACTTGATCCAGGTGGAGGCATTGTACTATTAACACCTGTGCTTTTCCCACAATGTCTGCTGTGAAAAGGGCCTGTGATGGAGAGCACATGTTATGACATCACTGATTGTGCGTGGCTAACCGAAACAGAACATTTGAGAGAACGGACGGCGTGAACCCACACTGAGCAGTACAGAAACAGATTTCTGCCCTTTGTGCAGAAGGTTAAGTCTGATGTTATTCCATATTTTTTCTTACTGTCAACAAATTCATTAAAAAGACCAAAACCAACAATGCGTTTGTCTCAAGGTGTTTTCCTATTTCCCTACCCCCGTCGGCTGTGCCACTCACACCCAAGCACATTTTTTTTAAATCAGTAATTCATTTCCTAAAACCACCATTGCTGCAGTTTTCAGCAATATACAGAAGTAGATTTGTTGGGGACCATTTTCAACTGCGGATTAATAAACATTTTTGTGCTCTGGTTAGTATTTACAGCAGCAGGACAGTGTGTGGGGGGATTGAGTCAAAATAAACTACAGTGTGTGTTTTCATGGCAATGAAGGAGCATGTCGCTCAGTGCAACAGTGGGGCTCATTGATGTGTTTTTAACAGTTCTTGGACAACAATGGAGCTCTGTGGCACAGAGGAAGAAGATGTATCAGGATTTGGATACGCAGGAACAACTTGTAGTAGGATCATTTCATTGTTGGCTTTGTTCTTGAATTTGTTAAAATACAGAATATCACCAGTATTATCCTTAAATTATGCAAGAGCTAATTTGATATTTAAACTTCATTATTTTCTCACACATTTTGAAATTATGCAAGATGTTAAAAAGTTAAAAAAAGTTAAAAATTAATTAACTAACCCTTTGGACAAGCTTTCTGCACACACACACACACACACACACACACACACAGAAACTGCAACCTATTCATCATAAAAGGGGCATTGAGCTGAAACCAAGTGTAGTTTAAAGAACAATTTGAAAAAAGCCAGTTAGAGGACAACATCAATTAAAAGTCATTAGCATTTGAATTTGCATAAATCAGCCATTAAAAAGATGCTTTACATTCACATTTCAGGGCAGGATAAGACCAGCATGCAACAGTTTAAGGGTCATTAAACACACACAAAGACACATTTGATTTGAGAGCTAATATTATTCATTTCAAACTGCAAAAACGTAAAGCATTAAGTTGCAACTACAAGATGTCAGTAAGTGGATTAAAACTGTACTATCAGCAAGTTAGTCTACTGGAAATCACTGATAATTACTAATGACTAGTCTATGTGAGGTCAGTATAAATGAGCACATGCAAAATCACACCCACACAGGTTGTTCAATGAAAGCTTCATTTGGAGTGAGGGTGTGAAGTGTAACATGCATTACAGCGGTGGCCACAATGGACGGACAGTAAATCTGTTCCATGAATGCAACAGCAGGACTACATGCAGGTGAAATGGGCTCATGCTTCATCCAAACATGTGCTTGATGGTGTTAGTCATCAGTTAGTGTTGGCTGGGTGGGAGGGGAGGGCCACGCAGGGTCATCATGCACGAGACACAGAGATGGAGAGGCAGATGAACTACGACTGATGTTTCATGGCAGACACAGCAAGTTCTGTACGTACCCAGAAAGAGCCTCTTAGGGATTCTGATCTCCTCGTCCTTACTGTCTGTCGCTACAGACGAAAACAAAAAAATAAGGGGGAGAAAAATAACAAAAAAAACAGGGAAAGGAAGGGAAAGAAAAAAAGAGCTTGGTTTTCTTCATGTTTTTTTTTTTTTTTTTCAGCAAAGCCAGAGGTGACCCGTGATGTGTCAGCTTACTGATCTTGGGCATGACTTTACAACAACATTTCAGGTAATTAGAGACTGATTCCCTGATAAGTTCTATCACTGATTACGGACTTTGTTTGAGTATGTTTGCACCTTAACAAGGCCCTGAAAACACATTCTCTCAACCAGCTTCTTACTACGAGTGATGCGGTCCTACATAAAGAAATTTTTTTTTGCCAAAGTTCCAACTGTTTTGGTTATTTCAGATGAGAGATTAATCTATTCCTCTGTGGTTTTGTCTGTGCTCTTCTTAATGATTTGACATGGGCAGGGCTCTGTTGGAAAATGGCAATATCATATATCACCGCTTAAAACTGAGGCTGTTTGCTTTTGTTGGCCGGGTCTCTGTCAGTTAATCAAAGCACGCCCACACAGTCCTGACGAAGCAGACCGGCTTCAGCTGAGTGTTCAATTCTTAAATATACAGAAATAATACTTTAACCTTGACTGCTGATTATTAAAAGGACCAGTGTGTGGGGTTTAATGGCTAGTGGTGAAGTTGCAGACTGAAATAACTGAAATCCTATCTAGAGCCAGTGTTTGGTTCGTCTGTTCTTGGCTATTATAGAAACATGGCGCTTCAACGTGGCGGCCTCGCTCTCCCTGTATGTATAAAAGGCTCATTGTAAGGTGATTACACACTAATGAAAACATACCTATGAATATTATATTGCATTTCTGCCAATAGATCCTCCT